GCGCCACACTGTACGAGTTGTGCCGACCTTGCTCGTTTCAGCAAAGCGATATCATACCGCTTCTGGCTCACTGATCCAGTGCTAATACCGTCGGTGGAATAACCTAATTCGCGCAGAAAACAGCCTTTGAGTTTTTGGTGGGCGGGGCATTGAGGAGGCATCAGAACTGCCGCCTTTGACTGCGCCCAGCTCCTTTTATTCCCTGTAGAAGAGCGCTTAAAGTGGAGAAACCGATTTCAAGACGAAGAGCCAGAATCATTTGTTCAAAGAAGAGACGACCACCGAGCGCGACAACTGTCTTTCAAAGCGAAAAGAAGAACGCCCACGCAAGTTGCGATGCAAACGCTATGTCTGCTTCGATCTCAAATCGACAAATGCCTAGACAATGGGAATGCGAATTAAAGGAGCGAGAGATCAAGTATATCCACAATACATTGTCGGAAAAACATGGCGTAGCATGAGAAAATGAAATTGAATATCGAGGCGATAGTTTAGAGAACAACTGTAATCAGTGGGCGGATTGAATGACCGTGCGGCGAGCACATAACGGTACCACCATAACACCGGCTATAATGCCACTATCCAGTAATTATCTAATCACAGGAACAAATTCACTGTCATCCGCCAATATTTGGCCAGACATGCCAGCCCACGACGCCCAACTGGCGTACTGACCAGTCCTATATGACCAACTCACGATCCATTTGAGCTTTTCATCATCACATTCCTTCTTATAAATAGTTCCAAAACAAATTCCAATCCCCGATGAGACAACAAGCCAAACACTTTCGCATAACAAATATACACACTGACACATAATGAACTACAACATAATGCCATAATACACACATGAGACTAACATTACTTAGAAGTGATATCCATCCATCAAGAAAATTTTTTGAAATAAAGTCGGATAATAATATTACTGAAAGGTAGAAGATCTGATACGAACGTGCACTGACAAGATTAGAAAGATATAATTTATTTGAAAAATTATAAACCACTTTGCTGATACTAGGCAACAAACCAGTGGCAACATGCAAAGACCAACAATGTGAAGCGATAGAAGGTCTTCTCAAATTGAATCAATTAGAAAATTGCGACACCGCTCACTTCAGAAAGGAAAGCGTCCAAACAAGAAGTCAGCTGGGCCATATCGAATACCAAGTGAACTGCACACCGTTGTACGCGTCTTGGGACAGTGAACTCAAATCTACGTTTAGAATTTGCGGAACGATTTTCTGAGCGGAGTTATGGAGGGTCTTATCCCCGCGTGGTCGTTTCACATGCCGACCGTAGGAAACGTGGAAGCGTCTTGACATCCATGTATGGAGTCATGCTGAAACGTGGTAGTAGAGCGCAACGGGTAGGGAGCGGGTTTCTTAGGCGAGACGTCGTAGGATCGGTTCTGGGGCAGACGGCTCTTTTTGCATTTGTCCAGGAACATAGCCGACAAAGCTTCTGACATCTTGATCGCTCGGCCACTTATAAAAGGGAAAAACCTGTAATCAGTTTTTTTTTTATAAGTGTAGACCCATTGTGACCTGAAAGAGTGTTCTGCTTGTACCCCTCGTAACACGTGTCACAAGGGTTTTTGCAATGAAATACCATCATATTCATGTTCAGCGGGTTAAATTACCCTGCAGGACAATTCTTAGCGAATGTGATATTCCGAGCTTCACTTGTGGAAACATGTGGGCTGTCGATGTAACTCATGCAGCAGTCATCTGGAGTCACTAACCATCGGATGAACTGCGTCTCGAACGGGATTTTCTCCGATAGTCAGGAAAATGATGCAGGCAGCACAAATAAGTAAGCGAGGTACTAGTGTTTGCGAAAAGTCATGACTGAAGAGTTATTTCACTTCGAAGACCAGTCATCACCAGTATGCTAGTCATAGTATCGCTGTTGGCTATCAGTCAGCCATGACTATCCATACCCCGTTTTTTCGAAGTTGAGTCAGAAGCTCAGATTTTGCAGGTGGCCGTCCCTAAGGGGTTATTTGACCCCCTGAACACGAATATGATACCTGCTTTGCGCGAAGGGCGCTGTGAGTCGCGCTACCGGTGCCAACGCTTCGGTGCCAGCGCGCCCGTAAGAAGAAAAAGAGTAAAGAAAAACCTCAATAACTCCGCTCAGAGAATCGTTCCGCAGATTTTGAAGATAGTTTTGAGTTCACCGTCTCAAGACGGGTACAACGATGTGCATCTCATTGCAAATGGCAAGGCACTGCAAGCCCCTAGGAAAAGCGAAAATTTTGAGAATTGATGTCTACTCGAGAATGAAGTCCGCCTCTCCTTTTCATCGTAGCTGCCACAGTTCTGTTGGAGTGGAATCGAGCTGTGCGAAAGGTGGGCACTTGTCCTAGTTATTAATGGTGTCTTGTGGATTGGATGTGGCGCCTAGTGAAGGAAAATTTGGTCCGAAATTATGGTCAGTGTGTCGCAGGACCCTCTTTCCAATCTTATAATGTGTCACTAAGCTTCGAATTATTTCAGAATTCAACAAAAGTCGTCAGATCTTTATTGAGTGCCTATGACGAGGCAAATTCGTCAGCTTCGATCAGAGCATTCATATGGCCAACAACAGAACACGACATCCGGCACCGATTTCCGGTCTGCCAAAAGGATTTGTGAATTCGGTGTTGAAAATGCATCATGATCGGCTTAGGCAACAGACCTAAGCACAATTAGTGATTGGCAAGTATCAGCGTGAAAACATAAATGCTTTGAGTGTACAATAAGGGAACTTCTGATAGAAACTCAATTTTAGTAACTAGGTGGGTGAGAAATGGCGAAAGAAATGAGTCAGTAACGAAAAAGGGAAGGAGTGAAAGGGAAGGAATCTACGGAAAAGGCAGTGCGGTGGCTGAATGTGTGTATCTAGTTCGCGTTCGACTTATCACCGCTGTTACTCCACGAGTGATGCGAGTCACCAATGCTGGCATTCGACCAAAGACTAAAGTCAGCGCCTGCGAAGATGTTGAACGGAACATTGGCATCTACTGGTGCGACAGTAGGTCCTAGTGACAATCCGAGTGACATCGGATCATACGATAAGTCTGTCGCAGCAGCAGATGAGGACGTGGTGTTCGAGTGATCGTTCCACTGGCTAGCAAGTGATGGCCGCGATCCGATTGGTGTAGGAGGCCATAACCTCGAACTTGCCTGAAAACGGGTATTCTTCACTTTGAAGACCTAGGAAATACTCAGCAACACTTACGCTGGTTCTATCGTCAGATTCGATAAGTGAGGTGAGGTGGAGATCCGGCATTGGCCAATCACCTAGGCCACCTAAACGCAGAACAATTCGCAGAACAATGTTTTGAAAAGCATTCACAACTGAAACCAATGCAGTTGTTATTCGACAGAATGTGTCCACACGGTGGTACAGTCCATTTCACAGCGTAGGGAAGGGCGTGTCTATGGACTCAGTTCAGAGAGCGGCGGCGGATATGCATCTCTGAAGATTCACAGCAAGATAGGAGACTACGGCTACCCAGTTGCACCCTCTCATGCTCCATCTGTCTAGGTCTGTGCCGTCTGAAGCAGTGTGTTATCCACTTCTACGAAGCCACAGCTGCTCCCATGACTAAGTCCATGAACACGCCCTTCCCATGCGCCGTGATATAGACTACAGCTTCTAACATGTCGATAAGTAATGTAGTCAAAGCACACAATCTTGACTGTTGGGGTGAGCTGCGAGCCATGAAAGGGATAAATGCCTTGAAGATTGTCTACCCCAACATATCTTTGGCTTTCTTCTTTCTATTCCAATTCGAAGCAACTGGGCGCCGATAGTTGAGGCGGCGTTGCCGTTTTTAGTGCGCTGAAGGGCTGCGAGAGGGCGTTTGGCCACATCCCACTAAGCCCTTCCACCAATCACTCTGGCGACAACCACCCTCCCCCTGCCGTTGGCCCACGGGGGCCGGGGGACGTGCAAGAGAATCGTAAATTGACCGCTTGTCGGCACGCGAGCAATGGCGCGCGTTCCTCGATCTTGCCAAACCCTTTCGATTAGGCAGCATCGGAATTCCATGTAGACAAGGCGACACGTAGACACTATATGTCTTATTTCTTGGTCACACTATTGTCTATTCTCCGACCAATATCACCTGGATATGCGTCGGTCGATGCAGGCCGCGGACATCGCACGCGAACGCTCCACTGTCCGGCGCCGGTGAATCTTCGTATTCTCATTGCTCATTATACCACTGGTTCCACGCCTTTGATCATGGCATTTCATTTGGAAACCTTCACTGGCAACGTAGACACACAACAAAACTGCGAATGAGAAACACCGTTTCTTTGGGCACGTCGAGCAATTGAATCTATAAAGCGGTGGGCCTGTAGCGGGGTTTAGACGGCAAAGTTTTCCACAGGCAGGCGGCAGTGGTAAACGTAGATGACGGTCAGTGATAGCTCCTAGACCACTTGCTCGAGTCGCTAGCCACCAAAGAATGTCCTTTTCATGCGGAGAAGCACAAATAAGTTCTCCACCTCGCAAAGGAACATGAGTATGATTGGAGACGTTTCACAATTCACGCCTTTCGAACTTTCAGAATAATTCTTAGCCACATTTTCCTCTACCTGCGTCTGCCATCCTCAAGTACTCATCTTCTCGACGACGTCGTTCCTCGTTCAACTGTGCAGCCAGAGTTTTCTTTGGAATACGCTCGGCGCCAATCGCACTACGTTGCGACTAAATACGGCGAGAATAACAGACCAATGATTCACTTATTGAAATCGAAACATAGCCCACTTGCGCACACTAGGCACATTTTCCGGAATGACTAACTATAGAATATTCACAACAAACCTTGTCGCTACTGCTCGCAATCTGCCACGGATCTTCCCATACCTGGCGCTTCTTCTTACAGCCTCGACGCCGTTTGCTTCGATTTTCTTTGTGTGTTGTGGTTGTTAGTAGGTGAGCATTGGTATGGATGACGTACACCCGGCTGCTGTGGTGCTTGTGAGCTCTGCTACTACCACCCATCTTCACCACTCGCACTCATCATAAATTCGCTTGCCGCTGCCATGGCCGAAAAAGTCGTCATCCACATCGTCTGAAAGTACCGCGTCTCTACAATTGAATAACGGACTCAGAACCCCTTACAGAATTTGAGTTTCGAACACGATTCTCAAAGGACTAGGACTGCCACAGCGAGTTAAAAGAATAGTTTACGATTATGAACCCTCACTTATCGACCTCTTTCACTCCAACAAAATCCTTGGTCTCGAGGTGCGAAGTACTCCTTTGCAAGGAAACTGTTAAAATGGACTATCCGCCCGCGCTGTCGTCAAGGTGCAGCACCGCATGGGTAAGAAAATCCCGCATCGAACAAGCCGTCAGAAAAAGAGAAAACCACAAAAGATACAGCGTAGACAGAACTAGTGTGTTTCGGCTAGGTTAGCCGCTGCGCTGAACTGCGGCAGCATGGGCGTCGTCGCGAGATGCTACCAAGCTCCGTTCCCGTGTACTTTTCGCGGAGATAGTGGCACGCTGAGGACAAATTCACCTCCACTTGGCAAGGACCAGAATACACGAAGGTGAGTGCAACGCTTGCTCCAAAGAGTTTATGTCGCGATCCGCTGCCAGGAGGCCTCCACGAGAGTTCTTGAAGCCTGATTTTTCATGATAACTGCTAGTTTTAACGCCGCATTCGCGTTCGCATGTTAATCAGAAGAATACTGAGTATGGCAAAATGCCTACCGCTAGCGGGACGAACGTCGAACCCGCGCCTCACGCTTTCCGGGCGAGTGCGCTACCATTACGCCACCAGGGCCGCTTTTACCCTCTCAGCTTAACGTTTTATGCCGTAGCCTTACACCACTCACACGTTTAACTTGCTCCGAAGTTCCCACTGAATAAAGGCAGTGATTATGAGTGATGTTCTACGTTCAAAAAAATTAGCTAAAAAGCTTGCTGAAAGAATACCAATGCAATTATTTCGTTTTGGGCGTCATGAGATCTTCGTGCCACTTATTTTCAAGTAAAAAAATAGCCAGCCTTCCTACCCCAGGTGAAAAAAAACAATTACTTTATAGTTTGAAGGAATGAACAAACCTGGGCCTACAACTTCATCGAGCCAATCAGGAGCAGCACTTAGCTCACTCGCAACACTTTGTTCACTTTCGCTGCGACGTCGAGTACGGGCAAACTCGGCACTCATTTCTCGTAATTCACCCTGTAAGTACAATTTTCAACGAATAATTATTGTTTGGATATAAACGATAAAGTAATGCAATCACCGCTCGATCATTCCCGGTACTTGATGCCAATGACGGTGTGGGTGTGGGAGGGATATTCGAGTCGTCGTAAGCACTGATCTGACCATAGTACTCTGCCAAAGCTCCCAAAGAAACATTTGTCATGTCCATCCCACCGATTGGTAACGTTAAACCGGGTATAAGAGTTGGAATGACAGGCAGCATTACCGGAATAGGAATGGGTTCAGTTCCGGTGATAGGTGCTTGGTAAACTGTTGGATGGACCGCGGACACCGGAATCACAGATGGCCTCGATATTGGCATAGAAGTACCTAAGGTACTTGATGTGGGTATGTTGTACGAAGCGGTGAAAGCTGACGTGGGGGTGGGTGGAGTGCATGGAGGTGGAGGGACATCCGCTGATGAGGAGTCCGCCGAAATTATTGGCGACGTGGACCTCTTGTGTTGGACAGGAGCGACCGGAACAGGCTGGGGTTTTTGACGAGCATGTTCTGGAAAAAAATTCATCAGTGCTGCTACTCTTCTAGAGCAAGTCAAAACAATCTACCACTTTTCTCGCTATCGCCACTTTCACGACGTTTCTCCTCGCGCTTTCCTCGAATAGAAGCCTGAACGTTGGTGCTAGCGATGTTCGATGAGGGTGGAACTTCCTCCGATACAGGGACCGTGTGCTGTTCGAGGTCAGCATCCATAAGCTGTTGAGCTCGAGCCAGCCGCCGATCGGCTTCCGTGAACCCACTGCTCTTTTTTCGTTGATTCGTCGGCGCCTTGGGGGACATTGAGAGCTTTGCACTGAAATCCATTAAGACATCAATTCCGTTGAATAGGATCCATAGGTGCGTATTTAAAAAGAAAAGCATACTTTCGAATTTGAGCTTTAGAAATACCTCAATTTGTGCATCGGAGCTACAGGCTGGACTTTTTTCACATTAGCTGGTCCCTGCTGTTGTTGCTGGGTGGTATGTTTGGTTTTCGCCGCTAAAAATCAAGTTATCGCATAGGGACTTCTGCCTAAATGGTCCCTGCTATGGGGCTGATGCCTCTGGACGCGATCAGTTTTGGCTGCTGGCTCATTTATGAAGTGCCTAGATCACCAAATCTGTAGAAAACTTGCATACAGGGGTTATTTAACATCCTGATTACGAATATGACATTCATTCTTGGCGCTGGCGCTAATGGAGGACACTACGATTATCTGCGCTCTGCTAAGGCTGAGCCCAGAAGATAATTGTAGTA